AGAAAGAGAGAAAGAGAGAGAGAGAGAGAAGAGAGAGAGAGAGAGAGAGAGAGAGAGAGAGAGAGAGAGAGAGATTCAGTGATCAGCTCTCGTAGACTCGAGCCAGCAGGCTTGGTGAATGAACTCCTTATAATTAAGCTTCAGGCCACAAGAGTGGTATTATTATTGCTATCATTGCTATGAAGTTAAATAAAAAAATAAACTGTTTCAATACAGACGGGGAACGTATGACTTTGTAATGTGTAGATTGCTGTGACAGATGCAAAGCATGAAACATTTTTGTAGCTTGAAGTAGCAAATTATTTCCAGTGCATGCATGTTTGTTGAGTCGATTCACACTCGTAATTGTTACAAAAGTGTGAATTTTAAGAAGCAAAGTTCAAAGAAGCTGCAGGTATCATTTCGCGCTGTAGAGGATGCTGTTTCAGTTTTACTAGCATTGCTACTCTTTTTTTAAATTCTGTGCAGAATATTGAGGAAGAAGTCAGTCGCAAGTATAATGATTTCTCTCTTATAATTCCGTTTCAAGAAACAGCTGAATATATCACCAACCTCCCACGGTATTGGAGCAGAAGAGCCATAGCTTTGTTAAAAACCCTTAGCCTTCCATTAAATAATAATGTCTATCGGTGGAAATTAACTACTTCGCCCTTTTGAGAGGTGTAACTCTCATGAAATTGAAGATGAATTTCATTTTATTTTCTATTGTTCACACTTTGTCCATCAAAGAAAATTGTTAATCCCTCCCAGCCTGACTCGGCCCAGTGACAGAAATATGCAATGTTTGACCCATGATAAGAGATATGTGCTCAACCTCATTATGGAAACTTAAACTTTACTTACCAAATGAGTGTTTTATATGCTGTGATCTAGTCCAATGGCCTTAAACACTGAATAAACGTACTTACTTACTTACTCTTCTTTTGTGTTATATGGTAATGGAACAGGATAAATCAAGACAACGAGTTTAAAATACTGGTTTGCTTTAAATGCAAGAAGAAAATCGACGTAAAATATATTGATCTCTATTTTTAATATGCTCTGCGGTGAGGGTTCAGTTAGTCAATCAAGGCCGTGCTTGCAAAATACGCCGGTTGCAGTGAGCATAAGGCGCGTATCAATGTTTATATGTATTGATCTTTTGTTATGTTTGATAATAGTGATGGAACAGATAAGGATCGCGCGACCGAAACAAATAATACCAGTCAGTTGCAGTCAGTGAGCACACAGCTGGTATCGATAGTGTGTTCTCTTTTGTGCCATCTCCAGTATCATTTCTTCTTCTTCTTCTTCTTTTTCTTCTTCTTCTTCTTCTTCTTCTTCTTCTTCTTCTTCTTCTTCTTCTTCTTCAGGGTTTTATGGTGCTCGAACTGCATACATAAGGTCATATGAACACATAATACACATTATTAACTTAATGATTTAGCATTTTCAGTTTACTAGGAGTTAATTTTGAATTTAACCCAGGTGACGGCCGAAGCCTACTCTTATCGGTTTCAGGACCACCAAGGGATCTTTAACTTTCACGTAGGACCTCCGAGATTTTTTCGCCCTTATCCGAGAAGGCTTTGTGTTGGTTCTTACCTACCCTAAGACCAGGCGTGTGGCTGAAAGACAGAAGTAGAAGGAACTAGGGAGTAGCAGTAGAAAGGCTGCAGAGAAAGTCAAGAGGAAGGAAAAGAGGGAGGGGGATGAGGCAGAAAATGGAGACCAAAGCAGACAACAGAACATGGTTAGAGAGCAGGAAAGGAGGTGAAAGGAGACAATTTTGAAAAAGAAAGTTGTCCGTCGTTGTCAGATTTCGAACCCGTACCTCTAGACCACGAGAGTGGTACTTTTCTTTCCCTTTCATATTGAATGGGTCATACCGACATCTATGGTATAGCAGATGGGCGTTTGATCGTCGCACACAGAAGAATCCGGTTCGATTCCCGTGTGGGTAGAACTTTTGTAGAGTATCTCGGTCTTTCTGCTGAATGGTTGTATCCCTCACAGCTCTGGTTGTGCTATATCTTTGACAAATTTTTACATGATAATATGGTGTAAAACAGGATGAGCGAGAACAGTCGAAAGAAACAACAAAACAAAACAAAAAAAGAAAAACAAACAGTAAAAACTCAATTTTATTATTTGATAGGCCTAGCCGATGCAGTCTTTCACTTTCGTCCGGCAGCACGGAGATGCACGACCAATGAATGCGTGTGTAAATCATCTTCCGTGCGTCGGAGTCTGAGAATTAATCATCCACGTACCTTGCTGGTATCCAAAACAGCCAAATTAGCATGAGAAGTCATCTTCAGGTTTTGCAAAGTATATCTCGTCTATTATCATGAGACGCAGAAAGAAGCATTGCTCCATCACAACAGACGAAAGTGTATGCGTTGTGGTAGTCTACGTTGTACAAAACCATTAAATTTAGATTTAGATCTAGATCTAGATCTAGATTCTAGATAGATCTAGATCAGCTCTGGATCTAGAATCTAGATCTATAATCTAGATCTAGATCTATGTCCCGGGATGAAAACGCATTAATTTATCTAGATTCTAGATCTACTTAGACCAATGAGCGTAGATGCTTTTAGGATACAATATGCACTTTTGATGCTTTTGGGATATGCACTGGCACAATCAGTGGCAAACCCCTCAGAGACTTTTTGGAGAGAGCAACGGAGCATCAATGGACATGTCCGGAATGCAGAGATCTTCCTTCCTGAAACATTAAACAATGAACAATGCGTAGGAAACTGCCAGTGGTATTAAACGAAGGAATAATGACGCATGGTCTGAACTCGACATGGTGTCTGTTTCTACGGCTGGGCTATTGCAAATCCTTTCGCTAATACACCTTTCTCCTTAGTCTTCAGACATTTTTTATTCCCAAAAATTATGTAGAAGCTGTTAAGGTTTTTCTTTAGACTGAATGGGCAGTCCAATTTAATCTTTCTCGTGTACAGCAAAATGCCAAGAACGCAAGCTTGGTATACGTTCATCTCTGTACTGATTTTGAGACTGGTTTCAGTAGTTAATGTGACCCCGAACTTTATTTGGAAGTCTGCCTTGGGTAACGGGAGCTTCGTCGCTCCGTATTCCAATAATTGATTAAGTGCCTGCTTTCTGTTCCAGTTGGAAGACATTCCAAATTTTCCACCTTAAATCAGAAGCACAGTCGGACATGCTCTAGCGGTCACATCCATAAAGCAATTATTTGTACAAACGACTACTCCCCCCTCCCCCCCCACCCCCTTCATGTGTGATTTTAATTTTTTTTTTTACATTATAATGACACTGTGTAAGACATGTACATGTTTAATTACCGCGGCCATTTTCTCATCAACAGAGGATAACTGTCTTAGAAAATTCAGATTGTACTTCTATAGTTATGTCTCGATAGGTAATCAGGTAGTATTTCTTCAAGAATTTAATAATAAATTTGTTTTGTTGGGGGCTAAGCGCATCTCTTTATAGCTGAGAGAAAATTCAAAAGAATGTGACTGAGAGTAACAACTTTGAACAAGGCATTCCCTTGTAAAAAATAAAATGGCTACTAACTGTTAGGTAGGCCTACCACTGCCTACTAGACTAAACTAAAAAGGATGATTTGTTTGAAATTTCACCCGATATTGGATACATAGCATGTGAAGTGGTCTACAAGTTGTATTCTTGTAATATCATAATTTTCTATACTTTTGATAGAGGAAGTACGGAACCAATCCTGTGTGAGCCTGGGGGCTAACCACGTTTTATGTCTGAATTTCTTGAAAAGATCAACCCCTTTAAGAAATCGAATCATCAGAATATCTGAAACGCAAAGACTCATTACCATATTTCTGTTTTTTTATGATAAAAAAAAATCATCGTTGCGATCTCTCTTACATGTAGATGAGGTCTTGTTTTAATGTATCCACTACGACTTGCGGTTGTTACTCGCACGCATGGGTGGGG